TCAGCGGCAGGACGTGCTCTGACTGTGGTATCACCAACCCATCACCATCTAGGTGATGACCATTTGGGAAGTTCCATACTCTCACCGCTCAGAAGTAAATGATATTGAGGCTAGACGTTCGTGCCAACGTCGACGCTCCGCCTTTTGCCTGACGCCAAGCCGGACGCCCCTTCTAACGGCCACTTGGTGATCGGAGTCAGGAGCCTTTGCGCAGGATGTTCAACAGAGTCAGGAGCTTTTGCGCAGGATGTTCAGCAGAGGTAGTATTCTGTCGCTGGAGGATAGGGGAGTCATGCTTGGCTTGAGAGAAGTGGTTTTTCACGTGCACCCACTGTATATCCGACAGATCGACGTCGCCGCTAAACTACTGTTGCTAATACTTTAGGTGAGATTTGAGCGTTCGCGCTCGGGGTAAGTTTCTGGGTAAGTTTGCTGAAAGGGTTAATCGGTTGTGGAAGGTATGCCGTACTGAAGGAGAACATGTGGGTGGGGGGGAGGGGAAGGGCGGGGGGCGTATTTAACAGTAACCCTCCCTAGTATCAATGTGTGTCCTAGGTGTAACTTTGCTGCTTATAACCTCGTCATCCGGGCAGTTGATTAGGGCGGTAACGGGCCGCAGACGCGGCTGCAGCAGCGACCGCGTGCGTAGGAACTATTTGCTTTTTCCGGCCTAATTTAGTCATTTTTCCCTACTTTTCACTGTTTTTGGCTGCTTTTTCCAAGATTAGCAGTTCCTTGTCTTCACAAGGTAAATTATAATTGGAATTTTTATAACATTTGCGAACAATTAAACGATTAAACAAACAATTAGACAAATGCCTGAAAAAAAATCGCGAAAAACACACCATTACGAGAGAAAATGAAAGAATCCGCGGGTTAATACACTTCATAAAGACAATAACGTAAATTATCTCGAAAAAAATAGGAAATGCAGTGAAAATTAGGAAAAAATTGCAAAATTAGGGTGGAAACAGCTGATCGCCACGTCGTGACGCGCTGCAGCCGCGTCGCGACACCTGGCAGGCTAATCAACTGCCCGGATGACGACGATAGCTCTTTGCATTCCGAATTGATACAGGCGTAAGAGAGGGGAGCCTGTGTAATACTAATACCAACATATGGAAATCTCGTCCACCCCTTTCTCCAGTCACCTCGTACAGCAGGGGTCTTATTTGGGGCATTCTCAACGATTTCGTCTGCTCTTTTGTTCGATTTTGAGTTGTACAACACCATGACAGTCGTTTTTAAGTCCCACCTCCCACGACTTATAACTGCGAAATGTGCCTTTAAGTTTAATATGAAGATTTTGAAGGCCGTAACTTGTTACAATGTGAAATTTGCAGATTGCGTTAACAAGCCTTACGAGCAGAGCGCAGACAAATGCGCCATACCCATTGTTCATGATACCGAAGTAACGTTCATCTATGGTGCATACCTCAGTTGGAGCCAAGGCGATAAGTACCTGGACTTTGCAGGAGCCGAACAGAACCAAGGTCAGGTTTCATGGTGCAAGTATTCTATTTAAATTTGTTTAATCAAGAACATTTGAAATGTCTGCATAATTTACATTCAGTGTTAGAAGAGTCACCCCTTTCGGCAGCAGCTTTTGGGTAAGAATCAGAGAGTTCCCGAAAACCCCGAAATGTTGGCCGGGCCGGAACCTGTGTGCACTGGGCTTCTCCCAAACCCGTTATGTAGAAAGCCATGATTAAATGAATTTCTTCAAACACTGAATCGTAAATTATGCAG